GCTGGGGCTTCCCAGGGCAAGGAGGATGTGACCTCTGCAGCCCAGGGAGGGGTCCCAGTGATGCTGAAGGGACTGCAGCACCTGCTGCAAAAGAAGAGACTGGGGTGGTTTGGGGGGTTGAATCCATGTAAATACTTGCCTGATGGGAGGGAAAGAAGAGGGAACTGGGCTCTTCCCAGTGGAGCCCCATGACAGGACCAGAGGCAACTGGCACAAACTAACCTCCAAAGGTTTGGGGTATTTTTGCAGTGAAGCTGATCACACAGGTTATCTGGAATGGGCTGCCCAGAGGCCCTGTGGCTCCCCCAGCTGGGAAGCTGCCAACAGCTGTGTGAAGGGTAAGAGGCCCCTGAGCCCTCCCATACCCAGCCCTGCTCATCAGGGTTGGCTGGAGTGCCAAGGTCAGTGTCCCATCCAATATGAATATTTCCAAGGAGTAACTGTCCCAGTAAAATCCCTCTTGCATGGCCTTCCAACTCCAGGGTCCTCATGCCACAGTGCAATTTGCCCTTTCAAGCCCCAATGGACACAGCACAAGCAGCTGGAGTAGGGGCTGGAGTGGGGGATCTCCCCAGGTCCCTTCCAGCTGCAGCCAAGCCTCAAGTTCATTCCCAAAGGCCTCCTGGCATTCCTCAGCTCCCTCAATACCTTGGAGCTGCCTCCTACCAGAGCCATCTGGTCACCGAAAGTGGCTTCCTCAAAATCCAGGGGCTGCACCCCCTGCCTGCACCCCTCTGCCTGCTCTCCTGCCTGCCCCAGGCACCGACCTCCTCTGCCATCACATCCCCACGCAGTCCTTCCCAGGCACCCCTCTCAAAAACATCCCTCCCTGCTCCAGCCCTGCCACGCTGCCCCTCCAGCATGTAGTGGGATGTTACCACAGAATTTTCAGTTGGTTTAGATGGGAAGGGACCACCCAGTCCCACCTACCACCACAGGCAGGGACACCTTCCACAGGCAGGGCTGGAGTTCCTGGTGAGGAACAGGGCCACCCATGGGGAGGCTGAACCTCCCCCAGCTGCCTCAGAAGGTTTCATCCCTGTCCTCTTGTCCTGAAACACAGCCCACCACAGTGTCCCCCTCCCTGCCCATGGCTCCAGCCCTGACCTGCTCAGCAGCACCGTGTGTCCCACAGAGGTGCCCCCCACCCCTGGTGCTCCTGAACGGGTGGTCATGTCCCCCCACAAAGGGCCTGTGTCTGTCCCTCCCCCAGCCCCACCAGCCATCCCAGGGTGGAGCTGCTTCACCCACTCACATCCCCACCGGCCCACAGGTGGGTGCAGCCACTGTGCCCATCTCACTGGAGATGAGGACTCGCTGTTCCCACCACTCTGTACCCTCTGCTTCCCACTGCTGCCACACCTGAGGGTCTGGGAGCATCTTCTCTCCCCAGAGACCACAATATCTCATGTCCTGATCCGGGAACACACACAGCCCCATACCCAGTGCTGGTGGGTTTGTGCTGCCAGCCCAGCTGCTGCCACCCAGTCCCAGCCCAGCTCATCCTGTTCCCTGTTCCTGGTGAGTCCTTTCTCCATTCCCAGTGAGTGCGTTCCCCATTCCCACTGAGCCTGTTCCCCCATTCCTAGGGAATGCATTCTCCCACTTCCAATGAGTCTGTTTCTCCATTCCTGGTGAGCCCCTTCCTCAATCCCAGTGAGCCTATTCCCCCGTTCCCTGTTCCTGGTGAGCCCATTCCCCATCCCTTGTGGGTCCATTCCCCATACCTGGTGAGCTCATCTCCCATTCCCAGCTCCCCCGTTCCCAGTTTTCCAGCCCCTGGCCCAGCACAGCCCCAGCTGCCCCCGCCCCGCACTTGCTCACGCCTCGTGTTTCCACCACGTTTTATTACAAAATCGGGGCAGGACCGTCCCGGGGCCGGTTCCGCT